AATGAGTAGCAGGTTAAGTAGCTGTTATTGCAATGGTGAGGTTACTAGTTTCTTCATTGTTGTGGGCATCTTTACTTAAATATGCTGATGTCTTACTTGCTCGTGTTGTTTCTTATAGATTTTTTATTATCTTTGGCGCTCTAGAGCTATTAAAGCAAAACTAATCTGGTGGGGGAGAGGGCTGGTACTTTACTCTCAGTCTTCTGTTCACGTGATGCACTCTTTGCTTCTTTCCAGTTTCTTCTTTATTTACTTGTGGAGACATTGTTAACATTCTTTTAGCCTAAACAATTACTAAACTATCATCTTTTCACTAAAGTTTAAAGTTGCTAATTGATTGGGCCTAATTATTAATTTTGTTGGTTTAAATTCATGCTTCTGCTTTACTCAAAGTATCCTTTCATTAAAACAATATCTTACACACAACAATATTTGCAATTCGTATTACAATTAAGACACACAAGACAAACTTGGACAGAACACAAACTTATTGTGTCATGACACAGAACTATGGTTTTTGTTGTTGTTTGTTGTTTTTCTTCAGCTGGCACTAGCGCTTTCTGATGATCTGAAAGACAAGAAAACATCTCTACCCCTATTGGGGTGGCTTATTATAATTTAAAATACTGCTTAAGATCTGTTAGGGGAACCTATTACACCTAGTTCCTTAACACTTCTTTGGGCAAGTGAGCTACAATTTTCTTAGAACAAGGGCGTTTTTTCAGTACTCGTGACTTTCCACTCTTAAGAATTACTTCTGAGTTACTAGCCTTCCTTAACAGTGGCATGCTTCAGTTTCTCTCTTGTACTACAGATTAGGCTTAATGTGTCAGGCTATAATGCTTTTCTTTAGCACGAGGTGTTGGTTGGCCAGTTACTGTTCTTGCAAGCAAAAAGCTTTTATTTTCTTAAAAAGAATCATATGTACAATGTTACAGGCTTACTTATGAGGGACAGTTAGTTTCACACCTCTTCAGAACAGAAAGGCAGTCTGCACTCACTTACAACTTTGGATCTGAGAGCAAGCTAAAAGTGTTATCAACTCAGCTTTGAACATAGACACAGTGAAGTTTTAGGGTTGGGATTTTTAAAACAATAATTTGGTTTCTTAGAGAGCAAATTTAACCTTAAAAGTTGAATGCTTAACACAAGCACTAACTAATTTGTGCCTTGTCTGTTTGCAATTTTAAGCAAGAGGACATTATCTAAAACAAAAAATACTAGTTCATTTGAAACTTACAAAATAAAGTTACAATATATAGAGCTTATTTTTTTATGCAGTTAACTAATTAAGTTTCAGTAAAATACTTAATTTTTTTTGCAGATTTAACAAAAGTGTCTGTAGACAAATGTTTACATTTGATTGTTTCTTTGCCTAGATGGTTTGTACAGTGCTTAAGAAAGAGGCTGCAAAGAAACGAGGTGTCATTTTTAAAGCAGGTTTTCTTTCACATATTACAACAATCGCTTAATTCCTTCTACACTCCCTCGGAGTTCACTTTTTACCTTCACATGCTTTTTCTTCTTATGATACATCCTGATTTCTGCTAAATGACTTTTTTCAATGACACAGGTTTGTTCAGTATCAATTCGGTAAGGAGGGTGGGCTTAATGATTAGTCTTTCACACCTTCTGATTCTATATCTTTATCATTTCCTAGTAAAATACATTGTGATGAGTTTCATCACAGAAATCCCCTTGGTTTTGTCCCATGTTGTGCTGATCAAACCACTGATACCCACCTTTCTGTCCTCTAGGGCTTCCCAACACCCTGTCCTGCTGAGCCAGAAGCTCTGGTCTCTCTCAACCAACACGCAGAGCTAGGGTTACCACCTGTCCCAGCAGAGCAACACAAGTGTTGAACCAGTTCAGTTCCGGGAGGATTCAGCATCCAGGAACACAGACCCCAAAAAGGACCAAAACCCCAAATAAATCCATCTTACCCTGCGTAAAAGTTTTACATGTAGAAAGCTCATAAGGTCATTCAATTTTATCATTGAAAGAGAGATATGCAGAGTGGTTCCTTCCCCCAGGTAACTACACTGGACTTGATCATAAAAAAACTTTTGTTTAGTAAGTATAAAATGTAGGATTTAAGTGATTACAAGTGAAAACTGACAGATCAAAATAAGTTACTATGTTAAAATAAACAATAGACACCAGCTAAACAAATAAACAGAAGGTGCCAGCTAATTCTAATCTACTAAGGAACTTTTCACATGAAAATTCATATCCTAAACAGTTACGCTGGCCTGGGTCTACAGCTTTTTTCAGAGTTCCTTTGAGTCCTTGGTTACTAGGTTTCTTCATTTGCCTCCCCTAGGGTGAGTGAAGCAGTTTCAAAGGGAGCTGAAGACCTGATTCTTTAAATAGACTTTTCCTCAGGGCAGGAACCCTTTGTTTAGATCGCACATGTCAATGGAAAAGTACTAGATTCAAGATGGATTCCAGTACCCAGTAGAATAGTGACATATCTTCCTAGGACCAACAAACAGGGTTTGGGTTTTGTCAGCCAACAGTCAGGGCAGTGTGTGTGTGTGTGTGTGGCAGTGTGTGTGTGTGTGTTTCTGAGAGGGTGTGGCAGTGTGTGTGTGTGTGTGTGTGACAGGGACTGTGTGTGGCACAGAGATGGAAGAGTGTGTGTGACAGGGACTGTGTGTGTGACAGGGACTGTGTGTGGCACAGAGATGGAAGAGTGTGTGTGACAGGGACTGTGTGTGTGACAGGGACTGTGTGTGGCACAGAGATGGAAGAGTGTGTGTGACAGGGACTGTGTGTGTGACAGGGACTGTGTGTGGCACAGAGATGGAAGAGTGTGTGTGGCAGTGTGTGTGTGTGAGACAGGGACTTTTATGACCGGCTGAAGTTCTTTTAAATTGTGCTTGGTTCTATTATAGCAACTGAAGGAGTCAGGTTAAAGCTTAAACAGTTACAGGTTTATTAAAGAAGCTTATAAATCATATGGTTACAATGGTTATTACTTTATTTCTTAAATGCTAGCAAATATATATATATAGGTCTTAAAAATGATCACAGGAAAAAGGTAAAGATAGAAAATAGAAATAATGGTACTAAGTGACAGCTTAATCTTTAAAGAGCTCTAACACTATGTATATATATACTTAAGCAAAGGACTACATTCAGGTACAATTTTTACCCCTTTCTGTGCCTCTCGACTCCAGCGTGTCAGGCCAGGGCCGGTCTCTTAATTCCTAGGAAAGACGAATACAAGGTGGGCATCCCCTCTGGAACCTCGGGAGATCAAACACCTAACCCGACGAGCAGATAGATGGCAGATTGACACTCAGAGAAAATATGCTGCTGGACCCATCTTTATACCCTTGGGGGCCCGTATCCTCTTTCTTATCTAAGATGCCGAATTGTACTGGTCTGTTCTGTGGCGCTAGTTCTTACAAGCAAGTTTCAAGTTAATTTACACTTGCAAGAGAGATAACTAAATTGTGTGTACTAGACATTTTTTTACTGGGCGAGAGATTCCTCCCCCCGCGGATGGATGTGTGTTCGTATCAATATGGGCTTGAGTCAAGGGCACTCCTTGGCAGCCTCTTGGTCAGCAATTGGCGTATCTCTGTTTACAGCCATTCATGGTCACAGCAGCTTGGGCCTTCTGCTCTGTGTGCCCTGTATGCTCCAGGCAAGCAAAAATGGATGTTACAAGGGGGGTTCCTGTCTGGCTACATACTTAAGAGACCTATTGTTTGAAGCAGCCTTGCTCATTCACATGTCCATAGGCTGAGCTGCCTTGCCCATTGCTTAAACAAATACAGAGAAACTCTCAGTATCCACACAGAGTATACACTTATAACTTCACACACAGACAATATACAATTACACGAATAGAATCAGTATAAGATAAGCTTTCATTAGATACCTCGCATAGCCCCCTTTGTACCAACTTTTGGGGCAAGCACCCCCCATGGGTGCAGCAGTGACCTGGCTGCTCCCCTTAAAATCCTGTAATGTGTCTGCTGGTCTGAACCTTCACAGGGAAGCTCATCTGCCGTGGATCGGCACCAGCCAAGGCCTGTTGCCTGTGAAATCCTGCTAGTCACTTGACTAACAGTCTTCTCACAATAGGCTGGCCCAGCCCCCTGCAGATATCTCCCGGAAGCAAACCTTTGCAATACACGCACAGAGCTGATACTCAGAACTTCACATGCAAATATGATTCCTGCATATGCATAGAGTCAGTAGATACCTCATTGGCCCACTCTCTGCCAGGGTTGGTGCAAACATAGAAAGATGCTTTGTATATTCACATCAGAATCCAGTAAGGTCACACAGGTGAGCCCGGGATGTCCGTTGCCTTGAAAGCCAGGGAGGCAGGTGTGTCAAGACCTCACCCTGATCTCTCATGTCTAGGGCAGGGAATCAACTTTTCCCGCCAGGGCGGGGATAGCCGGGGGGAGAGGGGGTGAAGTGTTCAGAGTGATGTCACTGAGAATTCCTGCATCCATCACACCCAGGGGCCAGGCACGGGTCCGACCCCAGCCTCCCACCCTGGGCAGCCAGGCCTGAGAGAGGTGAACTCAAGTCCAGTGCCCTTTATGGCACGCCTTCCAGGGCAGCCCCGCAGCCTCATGCTTATCCCAGGGGGTGAGATTGGCTGGCCTGGGCTAGACAGATATGCAGATGCATGAATTTTAATCTCTCCCCCTCCCCTTCCTCTACCGTGGTCAGGTAGGGAAGGGTGTCACAGAAGGGGAAACTGAGGCACATGGGGGGAGGAGGGATTTACCTGGAGCCAGGAAGCTGCCTGAAGCTCAGGACTCCTGAGTTCTCTCCCCAGTTCTGGTGCTGATCGCGTGGGGTGGGTCTGGAGGGCGGATCCTTTCCATGCCCCAGGCCAGGTGAGGGCAGCAGCAAGCCCAGCATGGGCCGAGCTGCAGTGGGTTTGGGCGCTGGAGAATATGGAGCATGGGGGGAGATGGCAGCAGGCAGGCGGCATGTGACGGGCAGCCTGGCTGCTCTCTCTGCAGCGTGGCGGACCTGGAGGAGAGGCAGGAGAAGTGGTTCGAGAACATGGAGTGGGAGTGGACTGCGCCCCACCAGGGCACTGCCACCGGGACAGGTAAGGGGGTGGGGAGCCATCTCCCCAGCTCTGGGCTTGACCTCAGCCGCCCTGGCCTGCCCTGGCCTGCCCTGGGGTCCAGCCTGGCTGCAGGTGGGTTGGCTGCCAGCTCTGGGGCATAAGGGGCTGGAGCTCTGGGCTGGGCTGGAGCCCAGGACACTGGCCAGCAGGTCCCTGGCCAGAGAGGTGCTGGGGCTGACACTGCTACAGAGGCCCCATCAAAGGCATCAAGGGGTGGGGCTGGGAAAGAGAGGCAGGAGGGGAGCATGCAGTGTGGCCACAGGGAGGCCAGTGGGGGCAGAGGAAAGGGGGTGCAGTGCGGGTGGGG